TTGGAGGCCTAGCGGCCCGTCTCATGTTAGTATTCGGAATCAGCACACTCGATTACCTATTGTTCGCTAAGTTTTAAGCTAGAAGCGATTTATCACTTGGTGTCCTTTCCTCGTTAGTGGAAATAATTATTTTTTGTTTCTCCCGGTGCCCGGTCTAGCCCACCCCTGGTTACGCCACTATTTGGAAGCCATTTTAAGCCGCTGCCTGGATATTTCTGCCATACTTAAAAAATAGTTACCACAAAGTTAACTAACTGATAGCTACCATTATTTCAACGGTAACTGGAAACACAGTTACCGTTGTTTTAACGATAACTGACTTTTCAGTTACCGTTGTCGATAACGGCCAAAGAAGTAACGGTAACTTTTACAGTCCTAGTCGCATGCCAAAAATTTATATCGTGTATTCAGGCACTGGACGGCACTAATTCGAAATGGTGTGCTAAACCATCGCCATTTAGATAACGACGACTTCTCGAACTATTCCATCGATATTGTACATGTTCAAGTCAACTCCTTAACGTACTCGCGGCACCGCTGTAGTCTTATATTCGCACTACCCACAACGCGATCGTTAAAAGAGTCGCGCCCAGCTCTTATTTTGAAAATAGCTTCTAATTGGCAATTGCGACTTGACAACTTCTTCCTGTAGCGATTGTTCTCGTGTTGCAAAGTCGTCCGGTGACCCTTGTAGTGATCTGTGGTATGACAATTCTTTTTGAAGTTTTAAAATTATCGCGGTTTACGGGCGCTATATGACACAGAATCGTGGCGCAGATATCTTTCGTCAGATGTTAACGTTGATCTTAACTCCAGTTGCCAAAGATTTAGTGAAGGTCGTTTTTATTCCACAATAATTTTGATTTTGTTTTATATAAAACGTGTCAGAGTGATGTTTGAAACAGAGTCCATCAGTTCGTTTCACGAAAATTCCATATGGGATTTTTCACGCCAGAAATATTACTCAAAATTTTTGGAAAACATTTTTCCTCACATTTCCATAAGACTACATAACCAAAACAATTAATTTATTCGAAATAAGGTAAATTTAAACTATATTTATTGAAGAAAATATATCACCATCTCCAAAAGCAGACAAGCCATTACATAGGCGAAGATGGTATTGTACAGATATTATCTTGATTTAACCGAAAATACAAAAAAAATGAATGAGCAAAAAGAAATCATAGCAGATAATAGAAAATATGAGGAAAGGTAGTGTAAAGATTGTAAAGTATGTGCTTTAAAATCTCTTGGTGTTGCCATAGTGAGCAATTTCTATAAGCACATGTTTCGCCAAAAACACATTTTTTTCGTACAAATATGTGTTTCTACTGCTCAGAAAATATGATTGATAAAAAAAAGTGCAATTCGAGAAAAAATTTTTTTTGATGGAAAATCCCTGAGGGGAGATCCTTCACCTAAATTTTTGTCAAAACATTTTTTATTTGGAAAACTAATAAATTATAAATCATTCGATGCGGTTTCGTGTACTGATTCCAAATGTGACCTTTCTTTTAAATACTAATGCTTCGGGCTTGAGAAAACTAGATTTTAGAAGAAATTTACTTCGATAACCGCGAGTTTTTCGGAAAACTTATAGCTCGATCCAGGAACATATGCGCTGTTTTTATCCATGTATTACAGAGTAAGGGTGTGTAAAAGTTGGTTATGTGTCTTATAGAAATGGTCACGTGTAAAAAATTTTCAATGAGATCTTGTTGACATTTTTCATGGACGGATAGCCCGGGATGTGCTCCTGAAAATTGCAGTCAGACGAGACCTAAATTTTCTACGACTTTGGCGTTGTACCGTATTTCCTACGTGTCCCCAGACTGGCACCTGCTGACTATTGGTATCCTTGAAAGCCAATGGACTATAGGTAATCGATCATGCTGAGTCTCGTGGCAATATTTGCGTTTTACAAAAAGTTCTAAAAATCTAGCGATAAAAGGATTTTTACGAAAATTACGGTTTTCAGGCTGTTTTTAAAAAATTCACTATTCACTCAAAATACATCAGAACGAGTTTAAAATATGTATGTACATCATTTAGGCTATTCTGAATCCTATTTACCTGATCTAGAAAGAGATTTTATAGAACTCTAAGGCTTTCGGAAAGGGTTTCTGGAAAATCCATTAATAGAAAATCTATGTCTCGTTTGACCGCCATTTTCAAGAGCACATCCCGGGCTATCACCCCATGAAAACTGGCAACATGATCCTGTTGGAAAATTTTTACACAGGACCTGGTTCTTCAGAGATCTCCTAAAAAGCCTGTTTCAGAAAACTCTTCTGAAAATAATTCTGCTTGCGGAAACATGTCTCCAACCCTTCTCTTTTGCATGGTGAAAACCGAAGCTATCTAGCTGCTTTCTATCAAGAATTATTCAAAAAATATCCACTGCGCTTGTATTTTGAAACGGATAGTTGTTTATGTAATTTTATTGTTTTCTGAAAATCGGGATTGATACCCAACACGTGAAAAATCTCATCAAATTTTTGTGAAACTAACTGACGGACTATGTTTGAAACATCAGTCTGACACGTCTTATGCCAAGAAAATCAAAATTATTGTGGACAAAACAACAGTATTAACTAGACTAGTTCTTTCGACTGTAAACAACAGAGGCAGATAAGAGTCGCAATGAGAAAAAACGATCGCATCCTAATTAACATATAGATCTTACATCGTCCTATTGTCTGTTCGATCGCAGCAAGAACAATGCGACTCCGTGAGTGGGAATCGCCAAAAACCCAGCGATCAGAGTAAAGTCTTCGGAAACAGTGAGTGACTGTTTCCGAATTTGTTATTTGAAGAAGATAAATTTTCGTCTTTGTTAGTGAAAATATGGTTACTTATTCTTGAAAAGAAAAAACCCGATGCTTTTGTTCCAGATATGTAATTCTAAACTAAACATTTGACAACTTGTCAAATCAACTTATCAAAACCACTCGCTGACAGCGAGTAGTTTTGATATAAACACGAGAAAAGATCGCATCTTGTTTCGCGAGACTGACAGAGAACACGTTATCACGATCGCACTGCGAATTTTTGAGCTGCTCTCGTTGCTTCGGTGGCAAAAAAGTTGTCTTGGGAGCTATAGGTTAAACGATTATTTTCTTTTCCATCCATTTAAAATTCTAACTCTCTTCTAAATACAGATTTACTTTTTCCTTCTAGGCAGACGCTCATGCATTAAAGCTGTTGAAAATGGAAACTGAATACGACGAAAATCGAATGAAAGTTGACAGTTTAGAAACAAAACTGAATGAAACGGAGCGTAGGTACATCTCAAAACGTTTAACTTATGAAGTCTGCGAAGAGCAATGTGAAAAAATTCGATCAAAATTTCCTAAGTTTATCGAAAAGTTTCAGTATGAAATGCGTCAAGTTGAAAACGAACTACCAAAACTAAAAAATCAGATGAACATCGTTCAATCACGTGTCAATTACTTCGAGCAATTGAAAAATGACATTGACAAAATGAAATTGATCGTCAACCAGCTGGAGACTCAGGTGCAAATGACACTACAAGAAAAAGAGCTTAGAGAAAACGAATTTAATCGACTTGATGGAGCATTGCATGTGTTGAGAGACATTTACAAACTTCGTTCATCGAATGCGTTAGGGAAAAAGATTTATTACTCGCTACCGATGCTAACAAAACCTAATGGTTAGTATAACTCTCAGAAAAGTCGATGATATTGTAACACTCTTCGTTCTAGATGATCTATCAAAGACGATTCATCTTCTCTCAAAACATCTCGGACACGACTGGCAACGTTTCTATTACGCACTGCCATTTTATCCGGAGAGGGGGGATGAAGAAAAAGAAAACGATGTGGACCGAATAGATAAGAAATATCAACGAGGAAACGTTGTAAAGGTAACATTCGAACTGCATATAATGTTAGATTTTCATTAATTCACTGATCACTATTGTAAATAAAAATAAATAATTTTTTAGGAGCAAGTGATGGCATCGTTATTGAAATGGCGTCGACATCACATACGGGCAAAAATTGACGATATTTTATCAACCTTAAAACAGATTCATCGTTTTGATCTCGTTAGCTTGGTAGAAAACCGTGTAGTTTTACCTAGTAGAAGTGCTCGTTTTGACGGCAGAGATGATAGAGAAGAGCAAGATCCACGACAAAGGGAAATAAACGAGTTAAATCGAAAATTGAATCGATTATTCGAGAAAATCAATAGTGGGGCCATAAGAACTCGTGATACATACGTTTACACGTCCTTGGGAATGTTTGATAAATATCGACCGGTAAGTCGCTTTTGAAGTAAAACTAAAATTGAATTATTTGAACTAAATATTTTTATTTTAGCAATCAAAAGGACCATCATCACCGCTCGACCATATGCGGTCGAGAAAAAGTATTGCAGTAGCAAAAGCGCTGTTGGAACGACGAAAAACAATCGTTCATTAATATCAGCGTTCAACACATTAAACGATCGTTGTGTACGCAAAAGACTCTCAACTACTCAGATCCACATGATGAAACACTCTCTCTACTTGGCTTGATGGTAAAAACAAGGCAAAATTTAATGATATAATTTTATTGTCTTATTTGCTTTTGTTTTTGGAAATTGAAACTGTATTATAGAACGTAAGAACGCTTTCACAAACCAAATTCAGTAACTTAAAAACAGTGAACATTTGCTTGTGTAAATTTTAATTTATAAAAAGACCTAGTAGTAGAAGTTTTAAAATAATCTCTCAAACAGTGGCGCATAACATGGATGATAGAAGAGTTGAGAAACACACATCTAGTACATGAACCAAGGGCATGGACCGCGTCAAAAAGTGATTTTTGGCCACTGAAATTGATTGGATGAAAAGTTCACAGAAATTTGCTTTCAAGCTTTTAGCCATGCATCCAAAAGGTCAGCTGAATTCTTCCAGTCAATTCTGAGAAAAAACAGTTTTCTCAGAATTGACTGGAAGAATTCAGCTGACCTTTTGGATTCATGGCTAAAAGCTTGAAAGCAAATTTCTGTGAACTTTTCATGCAATCAATTTCAGTGGCCAAAAATCACCTTTTGACGCAGTTCATGTCCTTTGACCACGTACTAATCATGAATTGTTCTACTTTTATTCATTTATTTATATAAGATTTTTATACATCAGATTTTGTACCACGATACACTAGACGGTCTAGTGGCGAGCCTAACCAACCGAACATTGCTAAAGATTTTCTAATTAGCAAATACTCCGCCGAATTAGGGTTATTTTCAGAGGTCTGATTTAAAATACGTGTAGGGAATGAACGGAAGCAAATTCAAAAATCGCCGAGCCTCAAATTTTAGATTTAGGTGTCTGCTTTCATTTGAGGCCACTCGCAGCTTTCTGCACATTCCAACAAAAAAGTCTTTACGTTTTTGCTAAGAGCCCCATTTTGCCCCTTGTCGCGCGCTATCTCGGCAGCGCTTCAACGTTTCGATCTCGAATCCTTAGCATAAGCTGGTAGGACAGTAAGCATTAGTCACTGAAAGCGCCCTCAAAATCGCATGTAAGATAAAAAAGTTTTTTCCTGAGGGGGACACTCCTTAAGAGGCAGTGCACGATAGGACTAACTAAGTTGCTCAAGGAACTTTGACAAATGTTTCTCACATTTTCAGAGCAGATAGAGAAATATGTCCTGAACATGTGTCTCTTGACATTTTTTCCGAAGTGCTTTTCCTCAACGCAAGAGCGCTTGCAGAAAAGGTCGTAAAATACGGAGAAAAGCGATTTTCCAGTCGAAAATTTTGCTTACGCTATAATTCCGTCAAATCAAATGCTAATGAGCTTAAACTCTTACCAGACCTGTCTTGGTATGAGTACTATCTATGATAAAAATTTGAACTTGTTTGAGTTAAGCGTTCTCTAGAAATAGTTTATTCTTTAGACGTAGACAAAACGTCATCGGCCGTTTTCCAAAGAGGTTGCTGCAACCGAAGATGGTCCGTTTGAAGGGCTCTCTATGGTTTCGTGAAGTACACCAAGAGTACTACCTCGAATCGTCGTCGAATTTTTGTGGAAATGATGGAAAACACTCGGGGACCTCTTGTCAAAAACCGTCAGCGCATCTCGGAAAAACCTGAAAATTTTTCTTTTAAAATCCATTGAATTATCAGCGCGACCGATCTTATCGATCTATCAACATCTCAAGAACGGCTACATACAATTCCAACGAACGTAACAATAATGAAGATGAAATAACGGTCAAATGGGAAAAAGAGAACATCATTACGAATATTAGCTAAAGAAATACTAGATGCCAACTATCCTACGGGCAGATTAGAAACCCGACGGAGTGAAACATACCTTAGAAAGACTTTAGACACCGCTTGAATCCCTTAAATACGGTCAGAACACTGCAGTGTTCTAGTAATAAACATATGACGCATTTTATCGGTAGTAATGTTTCAGACTATAAACGCACCAAACTATACAGAAGTATAGACTGATAAATAGCACGTGACTACTTAATGAATCACTCGACACTATTCATACTGAATATATATGAAGTTTCACGTGATAATTAATTATCTCATAGAAAGATTATTGAGAATATGTTCAGCTTTTGAAACTCATTACTTAATAATTAAAAGTTGTTTCGAAAAAATAACTTCAGCTGTTTCACCTGCCTCTCTTGCACTGTCGAATGACCTTTTTCCCAAATCTGTACGATTAGTGAGTGATAGCTGAGAATGGGTGGCTGACTCGAAGCAGAAAATAGGATGCGGAAGAAAGAAGAATTTTTTGTAGTGAAACAGAATAAGCCTCACCGAATTTCAGTCGATCGGCTTAATAAATATCACGAACCATTACATGGAAAATACTGACAGTTGACCTAGGATGTATGCTGTATAAAATAGGAATAGAACCAGCATTAAATAGTCAAGAAAGTAATAGGAAAAAATTCATCAAATGGATACAACACTAGTTCGAAAAGATCGAAAAATATAGCGTGTCAAATAATTATTATCGTTTTTCAAAAGGTATCAAATAGTATTTTCACTTTTTCGAAAAGAAAACATCATAAGAAAAAACGAAGGTGAGGCAAATCATATAGTTGTTAGATTATGATTTGTTTATTTCAATATAAATACAAGAAAACGGATCGTTCATAGTATCGACCGATTGGTTCTGTCTGAAATGAATGACCTTGAGTACCATGGTAAAATTTTTAACTCGATCGTAAGAAATTTAAGGGGGTTGCTACGTGGTCCAATGAAAAACCGAGTTTTCTGGAAAACTGGTGAACGCCAATAGTTAAAAACGTGAAACAAAAACGAACGTGCTTCATTGAATTTCCAATCAATTCTGAAAATATGAATCCTTAGTGAATTTTAGTTTTTATTTCACAGCATTTCTACGGAAAGTCAAAAATGAGGGAAGGGGTACGCTTAAATAACGAAATACTAAGAGTAAGTCGTGTACAAGTATTTACACTTGAATAAACACGAGAGTCTGATACATGATCAGAAAATAGCGCCATAAGTATCAGATGTCACACGACCGGTATTGAATCAACAATACGTGACACTACATAATAGTATAAAGCACCAACTTACGCTCGAATATTTCGCATTAAACAACGAAGTACGAAGGGCAAAACCAGGAATCGGACAGATTGTTTTCATCTTTCTATTCCTGATTGTGATCAAAAAGGTTAAATACACATAACTCTAAAGCTGGATGTCAGCCTTAAAGGTTGAATATGTTACACCACAAATACCCTAAAAAAAGACGATACTTCAATTGTTCTGAAATAAAGCATTGAAAAACGATCAAGTGGAGAAAAACACAGCAAGTGAGATGACTTGCTGAATAACATTTCAAGTTCATATTCATTAAACAATCGAAGCCATTATAACGGAACAATCTGAAAGTGTATAGATGAGATATCCAGAAAATGAACAGGATCATGTACATACCTTGTTAAATCCGATTAATAATTCACTAATCTGTTTTTCAATAGGTTTTATGTAATATAAATTAATTAATGATTTGCTCTTTATTATTTTCTGTTAATCTAATTTCACTGTCTGAATTTATACTTTTAACATATTTATTAAGCACTTTGATGAAGAAAAAGTACAGTACTAAACGTCACCAGAAAAGCTCTTGCCATTTTCGCCCTCTTCAAACGTATCTCTCGCATCAAACGTATTTTTCCCTGTAACAGAATACGTTTAAAATTATATAATTATAGAAACTCGAGGTGTTGTTATGGCGATGTTTAGTATTGAACTTTGTCTTCCTCAAAGTCAATCGCAAAAATTTTGTTTTCTATGTTTTTGTTTGAAGTTCAGACTTTGCTCTTTCCAGTGAAAAAATAATTAATCCTTCAAGAAATCGGCAACATGCAGAAATAATGTTCGATATTTAATACAAGACTTATGAAACACCCGCTAGTGTTCAAACATTACAATTAAACATATGTCTCGGTCAGTGTAATAGGGGTGCAAAGAATTTTCAACTTGCTCTGAAATGTTTCATAGATGCTGCGAGTATTGCAGAAACAGAGTATCAATTTTTTTGATCATCAAACATCTTTAGATACAAATGATCACCAAAGAAAGATACTTTTGATCACCAAATTTTTCAGCAAGTATCTCATATTTTTATTTCTCAACAAAGTATAATGTACAACACAAACATATTCATTGAGATTTTAACCACACGAACAATATTTTCACAGTTTTATTTATATCTATTTACAAATTTAAAGATGTGCTAACTTTCTTGCGACACCCTTTGCTTTTCGTTTGCCTAATGGTTGAATCGTGTTTTATCGCTAACTTGATACAAGTTAAACAAAATTGCTAATCCAATAAAATGTTTATACGAATATACTAATAATTGTACAACAAGCCAACAGGATTGCTATCACACTCGAAAACTATTGAATATAAGCCACCGACGAGAACGATAAATACCTAGCTAATGATACATTCAATAGTTTTCTGGTGTGGCAACAATCCTGTTGGCTTATTGTACAATTATTAATATATTCGTATAAACATTTTATTGGATTAGCAATTTTGTTTAACTTCTATCAAGTTAGCGATACAACACGATTCAACCATTAGGCAAACGAAAAGCAAAGGGTGTCGCAAGAAAGTTAGCACAGCTTTAAATTTTTAAATAGATATAAATAAAACTGTGAAAATATTGTTCATGTGGTTAAAATCTCAATGAATATGTTTGTGTTGTATATTATACTTTGTTGAGAAATAAAAATGTGAGATGCTTGCTGAAAAATTTGATGATCAAAAGTATCTTTCTTTGGTGATCATTTGTATCTAAAGATGTTTGGTGATCAAAAGTACATTTACTCACAGAAATAGCTAAAGGCTGAGTTGATAAATATCTAAGGTGTATTTATTATGACATTACGCAAATGTATAAACTTATGTATAATTATTCAAAATTAATTAATTATTTCAAGACAGTTCTTGAGCTTGACCAGGAAATTTCACTAACTGATCAACGGTTGTTGGCAAGTTCTTCTACTGATACCGAGGTGACCTACAATGATTCTGGCCAGTATGCTGAAGCAGTGAAAAACTATCAGATTGCTCTCAATATTTATTCAAGCTTTTTCTTCTGAACAAGTGTGCAATACGGGCAACTACACAGTACAACCTTGGAGTAGTTTTCAGAAATCAAAAAATTAATAATCAAGCTTTAGATTACCTTAATAACTATATAGAAATTTGTGAAAATGTTTTACCGACTCTTACCTACTTAAAAACAGCAACGCATAACTAAATTAGTGCAATTAATTCGAAAGAAAATGCTGCTGAATCAGCATCTAGAGACGCTACAAATAAACAGTTGAAATTGCACAATAATCATTCAAATCGAGTGATGTTAAATGTTAATCTTGCGATTGTTCTATCTCTCTTCGCGTCAGTTTTTTGACAGAAACGCCGTTAGAAATCTAACCCTGATCGTATTTCAAGTAAATTTTTTCATGCATTTCGAAACTCTATAAAGGACACAAGATTCAACTCAATTTCCACTGCTTATCAGAAATAAAATCCTATGCCGCCACATAAGTAAAACCTTGCGTAACACGCTTAACTCATGTATGTAAAAAATTGAGATTTTATCACATCATGACACAAAACAAAATATATAGTTATTAAGTATGATCATTTTTAAGTTTTTGTCGTTTTGGATCTTTTCCATTAGACACTTGTGAAAGCTCAGCTCTATTATGAACATAATTTTTAATCCTTCGATGATCATGTGACAGCAACTGGAGACCTGTTGTAATGGCTTTATCAAAGAATTCTAAAGCATCATGATATTTTTCTAGTTTATAGCTTACGATACCCATATTATTGTAGACTGCAGATAGATCTGGTGCATCTGATATTTCCTTAAAACAATTTGAAGCTTTTTCAAAATATCCAAATGCTTCTTTGAAACATGCTTCTTTGTTTTCATTATAACAAAGCAAACCCAAATTATTGTAAAGTTTACCGATTGATGAATGATTTGCTACTAATGATGTTGGTATCAAATTAATTTCATCATGACAACAGAATGTCGTTGACGTTGCTGTTTGAGGAATTGTCGTAGGCGTAATAGAAGGAGTAGATGAATTTGCTGAATGTAGTTTTTCTATACAATCTTGCATGATTCCATCTTGTTTAGGTCTATGTTTTAGTTTTTCTGCAATTGTAAAATTACATTTACTAAAATGTTCATATGCCAAACCATAATACTCTTCAGCTATTTTAAATTCTTCCTTCTTATAATGAAGCAAGCCAATATTCATATATATTGCACTTCTATCTTCGTGATTTGGTGGAAGTTCTTCCAATAGTACATGATAATATCTATCGGCTTTTTCATATTCATCTATTTCACTTAAAAAATTTCCTAATGTCATTATTGTTGTTTTGTCTTCAAATTTTTCCTTCAAATATTGTTTTATACCTATACAACATTCATTATTCTCTTCATTAATTAAATCTAATTCTACAAGCCACATGCCACTTTTTCCAGCTTCTTTAATAGACTTAACAAACCACAGCGTGCCAGTTGAAAATAAAACTTCATCTTCATCTTGTACTTTCGTTACAGTATTTAGGCAAGCATATGGTTTGGTTGTTTGATTTTTATCATTAGCTATATTTAATAGAAATTGAACACGTTCATAATTTGAATCTGTCGATGCACTACCATCTTTATAGTTAAACATATTAGCAACCTTTTCATTAACACTTGCTGATACAAATCCATTCATACATATAATCCCTTGTCCTTCCATACTCTCTCTTAAAATTCGAAATGTATTTGCTGTCAGTAATTTGCCTCGATGCAAAGGCGAAGATATTGATTTTGTAGATTTTTTATGTAGTTCGTCTAATTGCTTATGCATTTCTTGAATTAGAAAACGAAATGGAAATAAACAATCGACATCTTGTGTCCCTAATGCTTTATTTGTTAATTTATGACAAAATTTCATTTGTGGATCTGTGTACCATTCAAGAGGTGTTTTTGTTTCATAGTTTGATTCAAATACTGAAATATATTTCTTTTGTGTTTCATTATCACTATAATAATTATGACATGCTTTTATCATATCACTTTTAGCTTTTTCGTTCAGAGATAACCGTAATATTATTTCAATAAGCAATTGAAATTGAATAAATTCAATAGTTTCTTTATCTAAATTTCTTATTGGACTTGATATTTCAATTTGTCTAAAATATGTAAATGATGTTGATGACAATGATATCTCTCTTAACAGTTCATTCTGCCTCGTATTTGCATCAAATATAAATTGTTTTAATTCTTTAATAAGTAAATTTTGATTTATAAAAATGTTGTTTTTTATTTTCTCATGATTTTTGTCAATCCATTGTTGTTGTTCTTGTGAATTTCGACAATAAATGTACATATGACGAATCATAGACTTATCATGAATTAATGGTATGAAATATTGTCCATTGAAATGTGAAACAATACATACGAAATATGATAATTTCTTAGGATTCTGAGTAAAATAATTTATAGAATCACATGGGCAATCGAATATGGCTAAATTTGTAAAAATTCGTTTCAATTTTAAACAAAACTCATCATCAGTTTTAAAATATGTATTAAGCCAAATAACACCGAAGTCTTGATCAAACTTATAATTTTCAAGCAAAGTAGTAATATTTTGATCTGTCGTACGTTTTTCAGTACTAAAAGAAAATGAAAACTTCGCTGTCGTGCATGTAGAGGTTGAACATCATACTTGTGTTACCTTTCAGTTGTTGTTCGCGAAGAATCGCCCATGCTATGGGAAAATTATTGTTTATCTGAAAACAGTCCGAAAATGTAAAGTAATTTATGATATCGATAATCAGTTTGAATTTCATAGAATGAAAAAAAATAATTTAACAGTTTATGAACAGAATGAAATTTATGAAAGTTTTTTTTGTTTTTATTCACCTGTGAATATTGTTAACGACCAAATAAAATCAAAAAAATAATTAAAATTCATAAGAAAAGTTGTCAGTTGTAAATTATAATAATTCTTTGGGTATGTCATCAAACGGATTTAGATTATTATTTTTCAAGTTTTTGACGCCTAACTACAAGAGATATATTATGTAGATAATCTTCTACTATGATCGATTGATTATCCGACGAAAGTTGAAGTCCTTCGTTCAAAGCTTGTCGAAAAGAATCCAATGCTTTATCATAATGTTCAAGTCTATAATGAACACAACCAATATTATTATAAAGATTGGCTATTTTAATAGTTTGATTACTAGATTTAATAAGTTCAAATGCTTGTTGAAATTTTTCTAATGCATTTCTATATCTCTTTTTTACATCCAAAGTATTTTTTTCTTCATTTTTCTGTTCAGCCTGTTCATATATTGAACAACCTAAATTATAACAAACAGTGAATAATGTTGAATCATCTGTGATTGCTTGTTTTAATATAACACCATTTGTTTCAATTGTTGTATTTGAATCAGATGATGATGCTGAATGTTCTGGTAATTCTAATGCTTGTGTAAAACAGTCTCTAGACTTTTTAAACTCTTTATTTTGCCCATAAATTAATGCTAGATTATTGAAAATAGTTATTTTTTGATTATTTGATAATAATGAATTTTTTAATAGTTTATTATAATAGTTCAATGCTTTTTCACATTTATTGACGTTTGCCCAAAACATACCACATGTCCAAAGTGTTATTTTATCACCAAAATCATTTTTAAATAAATCTAACAGTATTTTTGAATCATCTATTTCTTTATCAGTTAATTGTAATTTAATATACCATATTTCACTTGGTAATTGTTCAATAGATTCTAATAGAAATATTGTACCAATTTGAAATAAATATTCAGTTTCATTATCGTTGCCAAATGAAACATAATTAGTAATATTAGCGAATGGTTTAGGATGATCATAAATGTCAATTTGAATTTCAAATAAAACAGGTTCATTACCATCATTATTAATATTTTCACGTGCACTATCACTTGAACTTATAACTGACATAAATGTAGTTATACATAATAGTTTACCAATATTATTTTTTAAATGTTTTAATTCTTCAGTTTGTATCTGTTGTTGTCCATTATATAACTTATATCGATTACCAATATGAACAGATGAGTCCTGAATTTGTTTATAAATATCAGCAATAATGTATCGATGTGAGTAAATATTACTAATGTTGTTTGATCGAAATGCATGATTAATATCAGCAATAATGTATCTTGGGTAAGCTAATATTGCTGTGTTGTTTGATGTACATGTATTTTGAAATCTATTAATAGCTTGTTTGTATTCATTGTTTTCTGATGTTGTTGTCGACCAACATATTTTCAATCCATCAATATCATCATTATCTTTTTTTGGTAAATGTTGAATCGATTCAATTAAAAACTGAAACCAAATAAATTGTTGATCTTCTATGTTAGTTAACGTTGTCAATGATAAGTTTTTTATATTTTTGAATTTATTAAATATAATTGTATATGGCTCAACAATTTTATGGAAATGAGGAGTCAAGCGTTCATTGATAGATGAGGATGATACTGTACTTATATCTTGTAATAATTTAGAAGAAAGTTGAATTGGATTTTTGGCTACGTCGGATAATTTTGGATAATTTCTATACCATTGTTCATCATCATCATCATCTCTTTTAGACTGAAATAAATAAATTGCAGTAATTTGTTTAAGATTATGAATCAGTGGTAATAAATTTTTAACATCAAATGTATCAGATAGAATAAAAAAAATTTTTTTATTTATTTTCGTTGTCAATGATGAAATACATTCTAATGGTTCATGGTATGTTTCCTTTGGTAGCTCGTTATTTATTGATATATGTATATCACTCGGTAAAAGAAAAACAATTTCAAAATGATTGTATGTTGATCTCAATCTTCTTTGTGTTGCTGCTGCAGATGTTGTTGTTGTACGTGTTCTAATTGTTGTAGCAGGAGAAACGCCAACTCTCCAACTATTTGGTATATCAACGATTGGTTTAAATGCCAAATTCTGTTCTCTGTGAAGCAACGCCTGCTCTTCTACGCATGACGGATAAAACGATTTAAAAACAGGTGTCACTAAAACATGAAACTTTCGTGCGTCAACAAAAAAACGTACGTCATGAGTAAAAACATTCAGTGGTCGTTGCTGTCGACTTGGTTCCAATTCTGATGGAATGAAACATCATTCTCATTCAACGTTAGTTCAATAAAAAATATTAAAAATTGTTTGTTGCTCATCGATCTTATACAATTTTTTTTCTGCATTTATTTCCTTTAAGCCAAAAACGAGTCATTTTTTTTCCTCGTCATACCTCTGTCTGTTTTTAGTATGTCTACCATGTTGAAGCTTTTCGAGAAGTTGTTGTACACTTCAAAAACAAAAATAAAGCAATAAAAGGCACCTGTTTTTTCAAAATGAATCTATACATTTACTTTAAAAGGCATAAGGTAAATTTTAAAAAAGTACCGTTGCTATCATCGGAAGATAATATGCGCAGTAATGAACTTGATGTATCCAGGACTTGACCTGTATTAATATATACAACTATAAATTTCAGTTGTAAAAATAGAAAGGATGGGGAACGATAAGAGATAAAATCGGCCCCTCACAAATCAGTCCTATCTTAACCGACCTGATACAGTCTTTGTCCGCGATTAACTCTAACATGTTTTAGACCTTAAACATCCTTTTCAGCACCCATCGAAACATTTTCGCAAAAAAACGTTTTCCCTCGTTAAACGACCTTTACTCAAAGTATTTTCATTATTTCGTCTCTTTCATCTAAATCAAGTATCGACTATTATACATCGTTCAATAGAGATTTTCGCGGGCTACAATGAGTTACAACACAGTATTTTAAAAGTTTGTTTTTGTAAATCCCAAAATCCCAAATAATCGAATCCTGGGTTGGAGGAGCATAATAGTTCGAAAAGACTGAAGTAAATTCTAGAACAAAACGTTAAGCAATATTTTAATAATTTATTAAGTAGTTTTCATGTCAAACATTGGTCTCTCTATGCGTTTAGGGGGTTTAGGGGCAAAATTTCCTTAGAAAACAGGCATTTTCACAGCATTTTTCGTCTTTAAACTTACACTTATCTATTGTTATAGAGTATAGCGGGAAGTTTCACAAAAAAAGAAACTTGTAACAATATCTAATTGATATTCTGATTGAGTAAAACACGTTTTCGAGACCATTTTACTGGAAAAAAATAATCTAAAATTTCTGTTAGGGTAGTCGATCAATTGTCTTTTGTTTAGATTGCTGAAATGATTCTCGTACTGCTAGTCTTATCTGCTGAAATGAACGTTTAATCGTCTAGTAGCTTAGTGTGAAAAAGAAATTTTGACTTACGCACGTCAGAAATAACCGTATCTTCATCATCTGTATGAAAATCTGAATGAGAATTTGTACTTAGTTGTGTATAATTTTTTAATTGATATCGAAGTTTTAAAACGAGTGGTTTTTGAGAAGATGACGATAATGTAGCTGAATTTCTAAATAAACTCCACGATTCAGCTTCCCAATCGATCCAATCCTTTGTTGTATCATGATAATATTGTATTATATATAACTTAGGGCGTTTACATCGTGATAGTTTATGAAAAGTTTCGATTGTTTGTGCAAAGGTTAAACTTGATTCAATAGAACGCATTTTATTATATGCACCAAATTGTAATGTATACTGAATGCGCATTTTTAATCTTTCATTTATCTGAATTAGAAGGAAAATTAGTCAGAGAAACTCATCTCTATCTAAGACTGTGTTCAAAGTCACTCCAGCTTGCCACGCTAGATCAAGAGCCGAAAAACTGTTATAAAAATGCATAACATGGAAGGGCCGAACTCGTGAACAAGGTTGGACATAGCAGAGCAGGTTGAAGAATTGTGAGTTCAGTAAATTGTAAGGGGCCGAAAATTCAAAGCTTAAGCAAAATTTTTTGTTTTTGAAAAACGTGTTTTAACGTGTCGTTTCTAAACGCGTTTACAAAAAGAAAAAATTCGAAGTTATATCATTTACACGTTGTTAGAAAACGCGTTCAACAAAAACGCCAGAAAACGGCTAATTCAATGATCGTCAGCGCGCGTCAGAGAATGCGTTATTCTAAAGTTTTGAACGACAAAAAACGCGTTATCGTTTGCTAACGCGTTCGGGAAAACGCGTTTTTCTTGCTGTTCTGGCGACCTTTTCTTGTAATTGAAATTTTTTATTAAGTACGCATTTTACTGGTCTCCATTAGTTTGTTGTCAGTTAATGTAATGTCAAGAGGATATGGCCGAACGGGAAAACTGGGAGAATGGCAAGACAAAAGAATGATAGGACCAAAACAATTTAAAATTTGAGGAGAGCGCGAAAATCTTCTGCTGTTAGCGCGAAAAGCTTCAAGTCTTAGCTTATGGCGCGGAATCTGGACTTACGTTTGGAAAAAGAATGTGCACTTGTCAATCTGTAGTGTCTAAATTGAACTATTTTTAAACTGAAAAATAGCACAATCAAAAAAGGAAGTACAGAGGAAAAACTTATGTTTCCTAAAAATAGATGGTGAATACACAACAGTAACAGAACCTCCGTAACATCGACAGCCTAAAGTGGAATTCTGGTCTACTCTTAAGAGGGTCTCCCTCTTCAAAAAGCTATTTTTCAAAGATCGCATTAAAGGATAAAAGGCTTAACCGATTCATTTCTATATTCATGTACAACTGTGGTTTATTTTGTATAACCTTATGTTTCAGAGATAAAAAACAATAACGATATTGAATAAAGCTAAAGTTTAGGCTTTTGAAACCATGTTTTGGGAAAAATTGCAAAAGGTTGTATTACGTTAACCTAGGTTAGGTTGCGAAAAACATTAATAGGTTAGGTTAGGTTTAGGTTGAGAAACCTTTTATAGGTTAAGTTATAGGTTGTCAAAAAGTCGTAACCTACAGGACTCTAGACTAAATATGCCCTTTAGTTTTTTAATCACTTTAGTCCTTTTAGTTTTTTACTATTTTTACTCCTTTTACTACGTTTAGTTATAAAGCGGAAATGAGGATGATAGTTGCGATACACCTGAAACAGAAAAGTAAAGGCAGTAAAAGACTAAAAGGAAGAAAAGATTAAAGGCAGTAAGAGAATAAGGACAGTAAGACTAAGTAAAGTAAACACTTAAGGAACAGATATAAAAGTACGAAAGTATAATAAAAATAATAAGCTAAAATGAGAGCTGTAGCCTTGTATGTAATCTAAAAGCATCTCGGAACAAACTCTGTACCATCTCGCAGCTCAAGTGAGTTCAGTACGAAACCACTCTACCTCATTATTTACTTAAAAAACTTTCCCTATTATGATAATAATTCTATTATAATAATTGTACTATTTTTCTAATGTGTGAATAAATACTTGTTGTGATAAAAGTAAACAATAAAACCAAAAAAATTAAAATGTATCTCAGCCTTTTTTTAAATGTCAACTGTAAAAAATGGGAAGGAAAACAAAACGAATAATTCTCCAAGTTTTTACAAGCGAGTCTTTTTATTCAACACATGACATTTTTTCATTTGGAATACGGTAGGAAAAAGAGAAAAACGCCTAAAAATAACAAGGACAAACAATATTTTTATGTTGGGGACTAAAAAAAATTGAATGATATTTAATTTTAAAAAGAAAAAATGTACAGTCAAGTACACATAGCTAACCGACTATGTACACTCAAGTAAGATGCCCGCAAAGCAAAAATGCAGAAAAAAATTATTTTTTTTTACATACCATACAGCATTCGATAGAAAATTTCAAGGCGGTCAAGAATATGTGTACTTTGAGTTTTCTCAACCCTTTTTTCCGGTTGAAAATTTGAAAAAACTCGGAAGGTGTCGAAAACAGCCAATTTGGCAACTTTTCTTAGATTCCTCTTTTTTTAAATGTGTTACGAGATGGAATCTTCTAACTTAGTTTTTCTGATAGATCATAGAAAACTGAATAAGAAACTGGTTTTAAACCATTCTTAGAACAAACCATCGGCTCAAAAACCGAAACTTAATTTTGAAAGTCTATCGCAAGTTTTTCTAGAGATGCTGGAGCCAATATTTTTACATGGTTAGATTCGTCAGATGCGTAGCTCCAAAGTTACGAAGAGCTTTGTCAAAAATTCCTTTTCCTCGCTGAGAAAAATCGATTTTACTGAGGACACCTCCAAATGGACCAGGTGATTTTTAGTTATTTTTTTCTGTTCTTCCCCAGTGTAGTCAAAGTATATTCATATAAGTTAAAATCGATGCCCAATCCAACAGACATACTCTCAAGATCTTTAAAGGACTTCTAGAAAACCTTCCAGGCGAACTTTGGCTGAATCATCTATGTTTTATTTTAAAAATCACTTTTTCGCTATATTCTTCTGAATCAGCTTTGGATCTACCTACTCCAGGTCTTTGTAATCACTCTCTCTATGTATTCTTACTATCTCTCACTCACACTGGTTAGTGTGTGTTTTATTCAATAAATCACTCCACTATATGTAGGATCAATCGTTACCACCAATTTGCTGTTAAACATTTTCAAATGAAACGAAAAGTTTTTCTTCATCAGGTAAGATGTCCTTGAAAAATTTAATTATTGATTCTTTTGGATAACTTAACGAATCATAAACTTTCCAAATATTATTACAGTTCAAATTTGAAATTGTTAGTCAGTGATTATTATTTGCATTGAAAATAAAAATCGAGTTCTCCAATGAATGTTTGTTTAGTTTAATTTGTGCAGGATCACACAAACCATTAGTATTTGGAAATTGTTTATGTAATAATTCAAAAAATAAATATATATGAAAATCAGTTAACCATGTGTTATTATCATAAACATCGCGAATCGCATTAATTTTTTTATTATGCTTATAATTATATCTTTCTAGATCGGGTGAAATTTTGGTTTATAAGTTCTTTTTTTATTTATTTTATTTTGATTGTTTTTTTATTATCTTTTTTCTTATAAGCCACCAATGATGCCATGCCACATGGTCTACCTGGCGGATTAACTACTGTCGAATAACTGAAAACCATTTTTGCTTTTAATAATATGTGCTCTTGTTCTTCTTTTGCTCCTGTTTCTGATTCTAGTTCTAATTTTGGTAGCTCTTCTTCAAAGAATTTTACTTCATGTTCTTGTTTTAATTCTTCTTCTGGATTAAATTCCACTTGATCTTGTTGTTCTTCTTGTGTATAATCGAATTTTGCTTGTCCTACTGCTGGTTCTCGCTGTATATCATCAGGATCTATGAATAGTTCTTGTTCTATCTCTTGGTCTTGCTGTTTGGAATAATTTTGTTTTAAAGACTTTGCATAGTTGTACAACTCTTTATGTTTATTGGTATTGATAAAATCGACAAAAACATTGAGTAAATTAAATGCTCCTTGAATTCATTAGTTCCGGATTGAATTATGCGAGCTGTTAATCGATCTACAGTTGGTTTCACACTATTATACTTGTCATTATTACTTGTCATTCCGCTGTTATAGACGTTTGGTAAATAAATTACACACGTTTCTCCATGGCCTTATTCACTTATGTTCGAAACTTCGCCAACGCTTACCACACCCGTACATTTAGTTTAAAAGTTTACTTTTGTAAAACTTACACTTTTCAGCCCAAAAATAGCAAAATATCTCAAATTTTGATGCCATAATGGTATCCTAGGTCATGCAGTTAGAAATTTCTATTATAATCTATAGAATTTTTCGATTGAACTTCGCTATTTTTTGATTTTCGTCAAATAACTGTTTATAAAAGTCAAAAAAGGTCTTTTTCTGAGAAAAGAATCGTAAGATGAAGTATGCGTTCAAAACCGATAGCATTTTCGTTTGATTTTGACTTTCACCTGCTGGGGTTAACAACTCTTAGACAAAACTTTTCTTCTGCCTATATACCTAATAGTCTATTTATGTACCTTTCGGAGATCTGATCACAGCGTTAAATATCCCGCACAATTTATCGACATTTTTTTCTTTTATGCCAATGAAACTGTAAAATCTGTGCGAAAAAAACAAGTTATAAAAAGCTTTTTTTTCGACATCCTGAATTGTGATTTCTGTACTCCATTCCCTCCTATCTCTTTCTGTTCCAAGAAAGTCAAGCGTACGAGTTGAATGGTTCCAACTCTTTGAAATGTATCTGTTGAATGTTATGTAGTGCGTTTTTTAATATCAAGTAAATTCTTTCATGATTAATAAAATTGTATATGAAGTTTTGAGTAGTGTAGAACTGGAAGATACACTTCAACTTTTGGAATAGAACAATCTACATTTTCAACTTTCAATCTACTATTTCGACTTCTCAACTTAAGAGATTCTCCTTTCAACTATTCAACTTTTGCCGTTATATATCAGTTTCAACTTTTCCACTTTTCAACTTTTCGACCTTTGACTTTGTGTAGATAGCATTTTCCACTTTTCAAATTTTGGACTTTCTGTATCATTTTCAACTCTTCCACTTTTGCCCTGATATATCCTTTTCAACGTTTCAGGTTTTGAACAAACTAAACGAACTCTTTATAGTTTCTAAGGGTAGGAACTGTTTTATGTATCAGAACGGGAAGTGTTGTGCCGCAGCCACTCTCAGCACCCCTGCCCACCCCCCGCACTCTTAAGATTCAAGGCATATTCTCCAGTTTGGTGTTCGGCAACTTCGAACTAACGAAGTCAAAAGTTCAATAGTTGAATAGTTGAAAATATAGATTGTTTTATTCCAAAGGTTGAAGATGATTTTCAACTTTTGGATAGTTGAAGTGTCTCTTCGAGCTTTACACGTATGAGTTTTAGGAGTTTTCAATCTTGCTGAATCAACTGATGATGATGTCGGAATTCTTTGACCACTGCAGTATTTAGTGATTCCCAAAATAATCATGTATTTTTAAGATTTAGGTCGATTTTTGGACTATTGATAGGATTTTATACGAGTAGAATGTTCCCGATAAAGGTTATTAAAATTTGAAAAATTGCGTGAGCTGTTTTTCTTTAAGGGCCCCCACCCCTCAAAAAAAGCATTTTTCGACAAAAAAATCGATTTGCACATTTATGCATAGTCGTATAGCCCAATATATCTGTTTTCGAATGCACTATGATTTATTGATTTTACGATGGTTTCTGAGGGTTTTGCAGCAGGTAAATTTATAGGTTTTTTTCATAAATCAGTGATTTTTTATGGATTTTCCGTGGGAATAACGCTGACATATGGGAAAAAGTACGTCGCACATGTCTCTACATGTGCTCATTCGATTCGCCATAGCCGATAACCTACGACGAACTGCTCTCAGTTTTTTCCCTGTACCACTTTCCAAAAAATAACCGCGATAATCAAAGGAGAAACTTGTTTTTGCGTTTTTCTCGAAACTGTTTTTTTTGTTTTACTTGATTGTGCGTCAGAGATTTCTCCGCCATTTTAAATGCTAGAAAGCTCGCGAATGTTTTAAAATGAAGCTAAAGCTCAGCGCTACAACCTAACAAAGTCGGAAATTTTGTTTTCAATGTAGCTTTTTACAAAAAAAGCAAGTTTGCTAAAAAGTAAAAGTAAATTTTTTTAAAGAACCTTCCCAAAAAAAAGTTTTCAAATTTAAAAAACAACTGGCTTTGTTAGGCTGTAGGGGCAATCTTCCCTGCATTTTGACACCGAGATCCTTATCATTAAAATTAAGAAAAAAATCTTTGACACACGAACACCTCCTTTTTGACCCTTAATATTAGGATAACTCTCGCAAAACTCAATATTTTGAGCTCAATTTTTTACTGAAAACTATCCAAGGTCAGGTACAGATTCAGTAAACATTTCACTAAGATTGAGTGCTCGGGGAAAAACATAGATTTTTGACGGGAAGGGGGGGGGTCCTTAATTTAAAAGACTTAATGATCAACCGAGTCATCTAAAATACTGTAAGAAGACGTAAGATGTTATTCTTCCCTAATCTATATATTTCGAATTTTTCCTCGAAAAATCTGAAACGCTCTAGAAAGGCCTGGAACAATGTCGTGGAAGGTTTTCTAAGTCGAAACATTTCCTTTATCTTGTAGAAAATCCTATTCTCTGCATCGTGAACTATTATTCATTAAAGGGCTGATGAAGATAGTAAATAAAGGAGAATATAATGTAATGTATAATTACATCTTTTGCGAGATTTTTCAATTTTATTTCTGTTTGTTTAATGTCATTTATTATTGAGTTTCTGCATAAAATAAATTATGTTTATTTCATTCTTTCATAATGAATTTGTGATTTTAAAATTCCATAATAGATGGTAACAAAAGTTGTTTTTATACAGAACGAGTAGCACAAAGCAACCCGAGCCACTGTTGTTTCGTTCTTTTTAGATACTAAACTAAGTTCGAAGCGTCTGTTCAGGGTTCAAAAGATAGAGAATTTGATTGAAACAAAATTTTTACTTCGCCATTAAACACGTACAAAACCGAGTAGCATTTGAAAATTTGAAAATACTAAAAGTACAATTCTTCATGGGCCTTCCGTTATATTCGTAGAGAACCTCAGCCTAGTGTTCAAAAATGCTGGACAATAAGCACCATTACAATTAGTGAAAAAATTAAATTTCTGGAAATCACCAGTTTTTACATAATAACATGGTGTTTTATGATAAAATAGTGTTTATTACTTCAAAACATATATTTTAAACATCCATATGATCATTCATCTGTGACTATTTGTGGTAAAACTGTACAGTTTTGAGAGAAAGTTGCTAGTATACATTCTCACCATATTCTCGGTATAAATACTTTTTCTTTTCATATATCCGTATATTTTATTCAAGTGTACTTTTGTGCTTATATCGTGGAATACTTCGAACTTGGTTATGAGTATATATTCACTAAGGTAATATGCAATAATTCAACGTACATATATGTTCATCATATATTTTCTCACACATAAAAAAGTTTCCTTTTCAAACATTTTTTTTCTCCTTTTAAATATGTTTCAGAAATGAAGGTATTCGCATGCATATTCGAATCATTTTTTTTCGTTAAAAAACCGATTTCGAAAAATTGAAACCTTTTCACATTGTCGTAAATGGGCTTGGTGGCTCGGGAAACCCATATATCATGATCAGCAAACTCCTCTCGATAAGGATATGATGAATTATATGAGAAATTTCACCGAGAACGTAACGAAATTACCATCTGTTCCGTTCATGTTTAAAATGATAGATTTCAAAACGGCCATTCGGAGTCTGAAAGTGAAAAATTCAGCTGGTACGGATAAAGTATCGAACAAATTCTAGATCGGGTGAAACTTGTTTATAAGTTCTGTTTTTATTTATTTTATCTTGATTGCTTTTATTATCTTTTTGCTTATAAGCCACCAATGATGCCATGCCACATGGTCTACCTGGCGGATTAACTACTGTCGAATAACTGAAAACCATTTTTGCTTTTAATAATATGTGCCCTTGTTCTTCTTTTGCTCCTGTTTCTGATTCTAGTTCTAATTTTGGTAGCTCTTCTTCAAAGAATCCAAAAAAGATCCAAAAAAGTTCATTTTTCATCCAAAAAACCTGGTTTTGAACTTTTCAGAAACCGGATTTTTAATGTTATAACCAAAAACATTTTTTAAAACAAATTTCTAAAAATATGCTTTTGTAGAGAATTGAATTATCTACAAAATGGCGTATTTGTTTTTGAGTTTACTTGCTATGCATAATTTGTACATAGTTGTACAGTTTGCGACTTACTGTCCAGTTTTTGCGCTTATATTTTGTGTTTTTCAGGCAAATCTAATAACCTAGGTGAAATATTTTTTTACCACTAGAAAGCCCGTAAGCTACTCTACAGGATCGGCTCAAGGAATGTTCCATTTGGAGAACTACTTTCGCAGCAAATCAGGATTATCGTAGCAGCACTCTTAAAAAAGGGTCTTTTTCGTAACGCCGTGACGCAACACTAAAATCCTTCTCAAAGCCCAATGCAACATCCAAAAAACTTCGTTTTCACAGCATAATTAGAGCATGATGAACTGCGTCGATTGACATTTAAAGGAACGTTCTAGCTACTTTAGTTTCCGAGATAACCAAAGTTTAGTGCGTCAAAAACGTAACGCCATGACGTTCGGACCAGAGGTGTGCGAGGCTAGGATTTTTCATGCCATGCGAGTCCCGTCCCGTGACTTCCGCTTTCTCGCCTCGCCCGCCCCCATGAACTAGTTTTTTTAAGCAGCCCCGCCTGTGAATTTTTTTATGTGCTACCCCGTCCCGCCCGTGCCTGGTGGCGGTAGCCGCCCTAACTCGACCCGCCCGTCCGTCAATTTCGCGGCGGGCCCCGCTCCGTCCTCGTGCAATCCGTGAAACTTTTATTAATCACGAAATTTGATTTTATTCGTCTGATCTGCATCGGGCATCAAGTTTTCTCAATAGAAAAATCGTTTGATTTTCGAGTCCAAAAGAAGGACTTAATTGTAAAAAAACTTTTTAGAATAAATCTTCAGAAAGATATCAATGAACTGAGTTAGCTACAGGGAAATTTGATGATCATGATTGGTCTTTCTCATATTTGTATGAGTTTAATAGATTAGTTGATCTAATTGTTTATGCGCTAGTAGGGTTACAAGAAATATATGCTGCAAATTTTTCAGTGACGTGATGGCGATGACTTTCATCTATTCCCGCAACAGTGATAAATAGAGTCTATCATAGGGATAGTTTTGCAGTATTTGTTCTGTGATTTACACAATTGTATTTTCTCCGGTTCCTCTTGTGCAAAGATCAGATAGCCTATGTATTCTACGTAGTTCACATCATCAATTGAGCCTTAAAGAAGTAGCTTTAAGCTAGGGGTGGCGCTTTACCGTTTCTTTACAGGTAACGCAGTAACGCATGCGTTATTGCGTTACTGGTAACGAGTAACGCAGCGTTATTTGCGTTACTTTTCTAGTAACGCAGTAACGCTTGCGTTATACGTTACTTGTAACGCAATAACGCATGCGTTACTCGTTACCAGTAACGCATAATATAGTAACGCTTTAGTCGCATTGTGTCCGGAAGGTGATAAAACAATACATTTTCGGTTGTTCGTCACTCATACGGTGATATTTGAAAGCGTTGCTTTACTCAGTAAAGTAACGCATCAGTAAAGAAAATGTGCCACCCCTACTTCAAGCAATTGAGTACCAATGAGCAGTTTTTAGTAAGATTGTTACATCTGAGGGTTCATCTGGTAATAATTCAACTTTGGATGTTGGATATTGATAAAGATGAGGACTATGTCAAATATCGATTCTAAGAATGAAATAAACTGTAATCACTTTCTCATGTATTGGTCAGCGTTCAGTATGAAAAAAGACATGGAACAAATAAATCACGAGTCAAAGCGCTTTCTATAGGTCAAAAACAAGGGACTAGCCATCAATATGCGTTGCTTCTTAGATGCATAAGAGAATCAAATCTCTTAATAGTTTTTCACGGTCCGAAACGGTCTCAAAGAAAAATTGTATACTCCGCCCACCTGACCCCCCGTATATTCTATTTCACTGCTTTACTTGCCCCGGATAGCCCGTGCGTCGGCATTACCCATACCTCGCCAGAACCCGTGCAGATCTTGAAGATTCTTGGCTCGCCCTTCCGTCGTCACGTGGCCCTGCGGTGTTTCGCAGTGCCTGTAAACAGCGGTTTCAGATTTTGTAAACACACAAAATTTCGGGAGACCTTTTTTCCATATGATCCTACTTATAAAAATAAACCTCAAACTTCCGTCTCCTACGAAGAACGGACAAGTCCTTGAAAGTTTTCACAAAAAGTAGTGTTACAGCAATCAAACTTTGATGTAAAACGATCAGCGCAACCAGTATTATCGACTTATCAACATCTTCAGATCGACCACATACAACTCTAACGAACGCAGCAGTAATGAAGGTGAAATAACGGTCACATGGGAAAGCGAGAATATTACTACGAATATTAGCCAAAGAAATATAAATATCACGAACCATTACATGGGAAATATTGACAAAAGAGCTAGGATATATGTTGTATAAAATAGGAGTAGAACCAACATTGAATGGTCAAGAAAAAAGTAATAGGAAAAAATTCATCAAATGGGTACAACACTAATTCGAAAAGATTGAAAAATATAGCGCGTCAAATAATTATTATTATTTTTCAAAAGGCAGCAAATGGTATTTTCACTTTTTCAAAAAGAGAACATCATGAGAAAAACATATAGTTGTTAGGTCATGATTTGTTAATATACATACAGGAAAACGGACCTATAGCAGTTCATAGTATCGATCGATTGGTACTGTCTGAAATGATTGAATAATACAACAGCATAGTGCACAAGGTATTTTATTCAAATGAAACTTAACCTCATTTGAGAAAATTTATCGTACAGTATACGAACAGTCGAGTGGGAAGTTAATGTTTCTCTATTGTTTATCAACTTTAATTCCATATTTTTCCATCCATTGTATTTCTTCTCCTGCCTCCGGTACTTCCATGCCGTTTTCTAATGCATTTTTGGCTGATCCTTCTAGGAAACCAACTGTTACACATTTCTCATCTAACTCCGTAATTTTAGCTACCAATGCACTTAATTCATGTAACATTTTTGTTTTAACTTCTTGAGTGCGACCTGAACGAATTAAACCTTGAACCAAACATGGCGTATTATTAGGATCACCACCAACATAACCGTTGCCTTTTTCAAATGGTATTAATACCACATTGACAAAAAAACGTGGTGCACCAGTATTTGAACAGTGAATATCCGTGATACCTAATATATAAGACAAAAACAGCAAGATAATGCTATAACCAAAGAGTTTTTATAACAAAATGCATCTTTTTTGTGCGTCGATAAAGTCAAATAGCAACTGCGAACAAAGAGAGAGAGTGTACCATTTTTTTCTAAAAAACTAACCAGTCGCAAGTTCTTGTTTTTTGTTTTGATCTAATAATCCTGACTCATAAAATACTTGATAAAACGGCATTCTTCTCCTTTTCAGTGTAGAAAAAGAATAAGTTAAACGAGTTAGTTAATATTAGAGAACTTATAGATAAAAGTCATCTCTTGACGTAAATAGTATGAATAATATTCTTTTTTTGCTTTCTATTTACTCTTCGAATGGTTACGGTCATTGTAGTGGTAAAAACTCAACACGTTGTGGCACGGCAAAGACAAAAATGAAATTGCATTTAGAAAAATAGATGGCTGATATGCAAAGGAATTAAACTAACCCTTTGCATGATTTACTGTATTAGTGCAATTTATTCGTAAAGTCATATATGTCTTCTAACACAATCGAAAATGTCTTATGATGTTTTCATGTCTCAATGTGACCTGTTATCTCGAACATTATCTATAGCATTATTAATGCTAGAATCTACAGTCTGTGTTTATATGAGAGATTATTGTAGAAAAGTAAACGAAGACTCTTAGTCGTTTTCGAATATCTGGACAATGAACAGTGCTGGAGAGTTTGGGTCTTCGCTATTCAAAAGAAGAAACGTTGTGACCTCTTTTTGTGAGAGTCATTAATTCGAAAACATTTTTTAAAGTAGTCTTCTAAAGAATCTTTGAGAAATATGATAGCTCAAAAACTTCAGGTACGAATACTTTTGTTTTCTCATGGGTAGAGAGTCCAAAGTGTGTTCTTCAAAATGAGAGTGAAGCGAGCAGGCGTGATATTGAATCTTTTTTATTGGAACTTTAGAACTGGCATTGGATGACTTCTAGTAATCTTGAAAATGCATAGTACACGTGTGATCGACCTCGCTGCAGCTGTTAATGTTTGTTTTAAGAGAAGAGTTCATAAACTTGATGAAAACAGAGTTTTTTGAAAATCAGGGTTTCTAGCTCACTCGTAAAATATTATAATAACCGGAAAACTTTGTGATGTACAGTATTTTGGTTATTCTATTCTTCCTGTTTATAAGTTTCAGAATGATATAATGGAAACTGGTTAGAGGCTAATAGAGCTAGATTTCTGATATTCAGTCTTTATTTGTGGTTAGGAAAACATTTTTGTGCAAGTTAATGAGACTTTTTTGAATTTTTGACTTTTGGCGTCTATCATTATTTTGAATAGTAAAATATCAAAATTCCGGGTTGTATTAGCCTCTAGCCACATGGCTTTTCGTCATTTTGAGACCCTCCCAATGTCTCAACGATGCTTCGGTACCGAGAAGGGGGCTTAAATGAAAAGTAAAAATAATTCACGGAAAACAAATGCTTATTTAAGATATGATCTAGTATATTATTAATTTGATCAATAAGCATGTTCCATGAGAAACCTATCTTGATAACGGCTGAACCAAAACTAAGTCCTTTCGGTTCTTAAGGGTTCTGAAGGTGCTCTTTCGTTTGGCTGGTTTGAAAAAATTTAGTAAGATTTCAAGAAAATAGTGGTGTTTGACATAGACATAGGGTACTTGATGAAATAATTTTTGTAGATAAACACGTTGCCTTAAAATAAATTTCAAATATACGGGTGGAAATAATATTTTTCCAGGGGGGTAAAGCTGAAACTACAAAGGATATAAAAATTTATTATATACCAAATTAATGCTCATCTAAAATGGAATTGATGTGTACGACTGATATTCTGTATGATGATTATTGGCTGTAGAACTATGGAAGTTTCTATCGAGTGCGTCATAATGATTAAATTCTGGGTGTAGCAGTGCTTTGAGTAAAAGTCCCGTAACTTCAACAAAACAAACGCTTTTTCGATCGGGTTT